AGACTTATTTAATTGATTAGAATATAAACATATTCTAAAATATTAGTTTGCATGGTTGGATTTATTTAGGACTTGATGTATAAATGAATTGCATTTAGTTTTGATGATTTATTATATGCTAATGAGGAATTACATGGTTTATTGAAGCTATAGAAGTGTTATTGTGTTGTGTTGATTATTGGAGTTTGATTGGGGAGTTTGGAGTTTTTGAATTTGGGAGTGTTTTGTATTTCACATGTTTTGGCGAGCTCAGGTTTTAGGGGAAATTCTTGGAGTTTTTTTTGAAATAATTTTCCCAAAATCATTTTCAAAAAAATATATATATTTACTTTACTAACTTTGGTGGAATACTAAATCACTTCTAATTTCATAACCTGATAATATGATTTGATATTCTGTTAGTTAGGATGAGTGCTCCAGGCCACCGAACGTGGCATCCATCATTTTGGTCTTTCGGGACTCGACGTCGGGTGTTACATCCTTTCCATTTTCTAAACTCACCAAAAGAAAACTTATGAAAATTTGGTTGTATTTGAATGAATTGTTTTGTTGGGCCTCATAGGATGATGGTAAATTTTGTTTGAGAAAGGATATGAACACCAGAAAAATGGAAGGATCATGTTGGAATCCAGGACAACAATAAGGCAGGACTGGTAAGGACAAGAAAGAAAGATCCACGACAGTGCCCAATTGTTCAAAAAACAGAAAAACGTTTAAACTTTAGCTTGACACTAGATTTGCAAAGTTTTGTGAAAGCATCTATTTAACTGATCCTTCTTGGCTATGCATCTACGGATGGTTCATCTTGATTTCAATGACTTTGAAGACTTTTAGGAGAAAATGGGTGCTAGTTTTGCCTTTCATAAAATCACCAACATCAGATTTGTGAAGTTGCATGTATGGAAGCAATTTGAGATGATTTTTCCCAAAAAAAAAAAAAATCACTGTAATAAAAGCCTTAAAAAACCACTTGAATTTGTATATGCAGACATATTGTGGGCCTATATTCACCTACTTCTTTTGGCAAGAATTAAATATTTTTTATTGTTATTGATAACTTCAGTCGCAAAACTTGAGGTTTATTTTTGAAGGAAAAATCAAAAAGCTTTTGGAAGTATTCAAGAATTTCAAAAGGCACTCGTGGAGGAATGAAAGTGCTCACAAAATTAAAGCCATGAGAACTGATCAAGGCATGGGAGTTCACCTCAAATCAGTGTAATAATTTTTGTGGAATCTCTACAAGCATCTCGAGGTCCATTTAACCGATCCCAAGATCACCCGAACAGGGAATGGTGTAGTGGAGAGGAAAAAATTAGTAACAATTATGGATATGGTTCGTACATCTTGAAGAGGCAAAATGATGCCAAAGGAATTTCGCGCATGAAGCAGTTGTGGCCATGTGCCGATGTATTTGTTCCAATCGAAGTCCCATTTAAAAAGCTTGTTGAGAGCAGCTCCTCAAGGAAGCATTGGGGAGCCATAGATAAGCCAAAAGTATTGCCAAGTTATTGGCAGTATCGCTATACTCATTTCAGATGAATCAAGAACCAAGATGGGATTTAAAAGTAAGAAAAGCTTTGTGTTTCTTAAACATGATGCCAGTTCCAAGGGTTACAGCTTTATGATCCAGTTAATGGAGAAGAAAAGTGATTCAGCAGAGATTGTTGAGTTTTGAATGAGATGGGCTCTTGGGATTGGAATGCAAAAAACGAAGGCTATAATTTTCTTCCTCTCTATGATGAATTCAAGCCAAAATTGAGACTGAAGATCTACATCAATCTTGCCAAAAAACTCCTCCTTCTTACACCAGCAATGGTTCAAAATATTTAGTCCTCAAAGTTCAACTGAAAGTCCACCTCGGATGAGAAGCTTAGATTGATATTTTGCTAACACTAAAGAAATTAAATTTTAGATGATAGTACTTGTTTTTGTATGGTTATGCAGATTCAGAGCCAATTTATTTTTGAAGAAGCTGTTGAAAGATCAAAGGTGCAGGAAGAACAACCATTGGAATGTGATAGAGATATACTATTAACCATGCATATGTAATAGTATAGCTCATGAATGATTTTTTCTATTGACAATTTATTTCTTTGTATTTAAAACTTTGGAAAATTTGCGATTAAATAAATGTTATTAGCATCATGAACAAATAATTGTGATTAAGTACATTTTGTATGTATTTAATTGGACCAAAATTAGAGAATGGATGTTAGACTTGTACTTTTAGTAATGACTGTTAAACATATTCTCTAAGACATTAGAAATAATGTTTATTGTTCTTAATCTTGATTTATTTTAATATGAGCAAACATTGATTGTCTTATGCTTTGATTCATTAAAGGATGAGTTTCATTATTGGAATAATATTCTCGGTGAATTGGGCAAAGCTTTTTGTGTTTGTGAAATATTAATTAATGATAGAATCAATGTCTCGGTTTAGAGATTGATGATGCACTTTAAGTAAGCTTATAAGGTTTCATAGTGTAAACCCTGCAGGTGGATTTTGAATCCGACACATGAAATAAGAAGTTGAGCGCACAATCTTAAGTTATTTATGGTATGTAAATAAATTGTCACAGTAAGTTATTTAAATGACAGCAATCTGTAATCTTAACGGGGGGAAACATGTATTTATATATGTTGTGGAATTGTTAAAATTAAAATAGGAGTTCAGTCATGAGTTTTTAGTGGAATAGTGGAATAATTCATGATTAATTATAATAAGAATATGTTGGTCTACATAGGTTATTATTATAATTAGTAGCCTGATTTATTTTATTCCTGAGGTCCCTGTAGTGCCCTAATTATTTGGAAAGTTAAGGGTGTATTAAATAATAGATAAATTATTCAGTTTTAAAATAATTGATAATTATTTTTTAATTAAATAATTTTTTATTTAATTTATTTTATATTAAAAAAATATCTTCCTATCGAAGAGAGGTTTTTTAATATAAGATTGCAAAACGCTAAGAATAAAGAGATACGCACGTTATTCTATTCTCTGCCACTCAGAGAGTTCCAAAACAGAGATAGTTAGGGATTACTGCAGAAGATCGTGGGTGACTCCAAGATATCTGGAAAGAAGACCGGTGAGCGATTTTGTGCTTCAAGAGGTCAGTTTATTGATTTGTTCGATAATGTTTTTAGTTTGCCTCATATGCCACTCAGAGAGTTCCAAAAGAGAGATAGTTAGGGATTACTGCAGAAGATCGTGGGTGACTCCAAGATCTCTGGAAAGAAGACCGGTGAGAGCGATTTTACGCTTCAAGAGATCAGTTTATTGATTTGTTCAATAATGTTTTTAGTTTGCCTCATATGGTTTCGAAGAGGGTTGTTTCCGCTTTATACCCGCTCCCATCAGGATGAAGAAATGGGAGCAATCCAAAAGAATGATACTTGCAAGTTGTCATCACTTTCAAAGGAGAAAAAGGCTATTGCTGTGAAGTGGATCTATAAAGTAAAGAAGAACTCTACAGGTGAAGTGGAAAGATACGAAGCTCAGCTTGTTGCTAGAGGTTTCAGTCAAAAAGGGGGAATTGATTATGAAGAAGTTTTTGCTCCGGTGGCTCGTTTGGAGACTATTCGTTTGATCATTGCCTTTGCTACACAAAACAAGTGGCAAATTCATCAAATGGATGTGAAGTCAGCGTTTTTGAATTACAATCTTGAAGAAGAAGTGTACATAGAATAACCATTGGGATACAAGGTTCAAGGACATGAAGACAAAGGTGCTGAGGTTGAAGAAGGCTTTGTACGGCCTCAAGCAAGCCCCAAGGGCCTGGAACACTAACATTAATGAATATTTTCAAAAAAATGGCTATATAAAGTGTCCTTATGAACATGCTTTGTATGTTCAGAGAGACGCTAATAGAGAGGTAATGTTTGTTTACTTGTGTGTTGATGATATAATTTTTACGGGTTCAAATACAAAGATGCTTGATGAATCTAAGAGGAAAATGGCATAAGAGTTCGAGATGACTTTTGGGGCTGATGACTTATTATTTGGGTATTAATGTCAAGCAAGGAGATGAAGGTATTTTCACTTCACAAAAAGCCTATGCTGAAAAAATTCTAAAAGATTTTCAAATGGAGCATTGCAATCCAGTTAGTACACCTGTGGAGAATGGAGCAAAGCTAACAAAGTTTGATGATGGTGGGATTATAAATCCAAATCCGTTTCAAAGAATTGTTGGAAGTCTGAGATTTTTAACTTGCACAAAACCAGATATTTTGTATGGAGTTGGATTAATTAGTCGATTTATAGAAACTCCAAGTTCAATTCATATGAAGGCATCTAAGCAAATTCAATACATTAAAGGAACAATGGATTATAGTTTGTTTTATAATGCTGGAAGTAATTTTAGATTGGTTGAATATAGCGACAGTGATTGGGCTGAAGATGTAGATGATCGGAAAAGTACATCCAGTTTTGTTTTCTTCTTGGTAAATTCCACTTATACTTGGAGTTCAAAGAAACAGCAATTGTGACGTTGCCGGCATGTGAAGCAGCAATTGCTCCTTGTGTTTGTCATGGAGTTTGGTTAAGGAGGCTGCTAGAAGTGTTGAGATTTTTAGAAGTTACAAATATTTTTATTAATAACAAATCAGCAATTGCTTTGGGCAAAAATCCAAATTTCCATGATAGAAGCAAGCATATAGACACAAGATATCATTTTATTTAGAGAAAGCATCAACAAAAAGGAAGTGGTTCTTAAGCATGTGAAGAGTGATGAACAAGTTGCAAACTTTTTTACTAAAGCATTGAAGTTTGAAGTTTTCAGCAGACTTAGAGCTTATCTTGGAGTGAAAAAAAAAAAAAACAAGTTTAAGGAGGGGGTGTTGAGAAAATGAACTTGTTTTAATTTGATATTATCCATTTACTTTTTCCCATAATATATATCTAATTAAGTTCATGTATTAGAGATTAACTACAACTCTATTTTCTATGATGTATTTAATCAAGTTCATGTATTTGGATTAATAGATGTACCTATAAATGTCATGAATAAAATCAAATGTGTGCTTTTCCAATATAAATGTCATGAATAAAATCAAATGTGTGCTTTTCCAAATATCAAATTCTCTCCTCTGTCTTTTCTTCCAACAAATATAACATTCTTGTTCTACCTTTATGTTGAGAAGAAATTTAGACAAGCTAGGATCCTATAAACCATGCATTCATTAGAAATTGATTGTAATGCAACTATCACCATCACTCATTACTGATTTGCCAAATCAGACAATGCTCCAGGACTTATAGAGTCGAAGTGCCAATTACGTTCATTGCTGTAAGGATCTACTGAGGATATATGTAAGATCATGTTGTGGTGTTCATAAAGAGTTCTTCTGTGGCCAATACTAACATAGGTTATGCCTGCTGCTTCAATCTGTTGGTAAAGATGTGCCTGTAATGATAAAGCACAAGAATAAACAAACTAAGATAAAATATCCTTTGCCCAATCACTTAATTATTGCAAATAGCCTGTAATACTCGTATATGCACAAGTCCTCTGAATCTTGAGGATGTAGGAAATGCAACGGGACATAGACTAGAATCTGTTTCTTTCTTGAAAGCTTGTTGCTTCCAAAACAGTCCATGAATCATATGGCCCACTTACTATCTAGAGTTTACATATGGCCTTTTTTTTAGGGTGGGGGCGATGACTTAACTTGGGCCTTTGCTGAACTACTAGGCCAAAACTGTGGATGTCGTATGAAAATACCTGAAATGAGAATCTAACACTAGACCTTTTCCTTGCAAGTAACTCCATGATTTGCTTGGTTTAGGGAGATCCAATGCTAGAAGGGTGACATTTTTTATTGCATAACTATAACCAGGAGTACCCTCTTGAGCCAACAATCAAATTTTTTTGGCAGTTCAGCAAACAGGTTATAATAACTTTCATTATAAGAGAATCTAAATTGGGAACTGAAATACCTCATTGGCTTCATCCAAGGCACTAGTAGATTCATCCAATAGAACCAACCTTGGTTTAGAAAGCAAAAGACGGGCAAAAGCAAGACGTTGCTGCTCACCGAGGGAAAGAACACTAGACCACTCGTGTGTTGAATCCAGACTACCAAAACGTGAAAATATATAGCCAAGACGAACATTCTCTAAGACTCGTATTAAATCATCTGTTGTGGGCTTATTGGGCTTTCCCTGCATATTTTCTGAGTTTGGTTTACCCATCAGGAACGACATCGGACCTGCTAAAGTTAAGTCAAAATTTCTCATTTTCATTAAAGTAATAAATTTGCAACATGATATGCACAAGATCACTGCATGAGAGGAAAGATCAAAATAATTGTTACATGGTAGGGCCAAGTAGCAAGAATGACTTTGCAAAATGATATAATGCAATATTTGATAAGTTGCAATGGAATGTAATGCAAAATGATCTAATGCAACGGTTGGTAAGCTATAATGGAATGTAATGTAACCTTGCTTATGTGATTCATTTTATTATATTGCATTTATGGTTTAACTAACGTAGCCTAAAAGAATACACTGGATAAGACATTTTTGCGCATTAGAGCCAACAAATTGCTGAACATAAGCCTATCAGTACTACCTAGGACCAACATTACCCAGCAATATAGAGTTCGGGTTTAAAGAAATAGTTGTACCTTAACAAGTACTATTTAGACATAGTCAAATAAATCGTAGAAAGTGTTTCATTGTGGAGAGTTGATTCAACTAATTACACACCTCAGATGATTCAGCCCGAGAATATAAAGTATTTGGTTTGGAAGAATGGTTTATCTCCTCTAAATATTCATTTTTCTTTTCTGTATTTAGGATGCAGGACCTAAATGCTCTCAGTGCTTTCTATTTTTAATCGCTTTGTAGAAACATAAAAAAGATACAATAATAGGCAATTATAGAACTAGAAACATGTTTGTCTTATTTTATCATCCAAGTCATATTTAATCACACAAGCATATAAATTGAGAAATATGGAGAGTGATATAGTCGTGTTGTTTCTCAAAAACACTGAACATGGCACTTCTACACAAAATCTATATTGCAGTGCGACTCAAAAAAACAAATACTATTGATAAGATGATGATTTAGAAACATACCAGTTAGTTTGGTACCATCCAACATGGGAATTATGTCATCAATCCACGTAGGGTACAACAATTGCTGACGAAGGGTTCCCAAGACCATATACGGTCTCTGCGGAAGAAAAAATATGCCTCTAGAATTTCTACTTACTGGCCTATCAAGTTCTACTTTATCATGTGACCTATGGTCTTCAATAGAAGACTCTTCTGAAGAAGTGTGTAATTGAGAATCATACCCATCATTTACATAGAAAGTTATTTTTCCTCTTCCAACTTTCCAAAGGCCAGCCAGTGCTCTTAACAAAGAAGTTTTACCACTCCCACTAGGTCCAGTCACCTGTTAAGCCAATTTTAAAACAATGGGTAAATTACATTGATGATTACCAAACTTTACATTTAGTTACATTAAAGTCACAATACTTCAATTAAAGTCACCATACTTCAATTTGTTATGTTTTAGTTACTAAACTTTGATTATTTTTTTTGATGGGAGATCACCCACTGAAATCCAGTGCACGGAAATATTGGCATGTCACTAAAAGTAAAATATTTCATTCACAAATTCATATTTTATCTTAATATACTAATTTGAGACCTACTCATTGATCTAGCTAGAATAATGCCACCCAAATGAAATAGGAAAAAAAAAGAGAGAAAAAGAAAATAAATCACAGTCTGTCATTGTATTTTATAAACTTTTCTTCTTCTCCATCTTATGCCTGCTCATAATCATAGTATTTTTGTTTATTTTTAGTATCATGTTATCATTCTGGTCACCAGATTCTAATGGGTGATCTCCCGTTGAAACAAAATTGAACTTTAGTGAATGAAAAATGATAGATTGAAATTAAGTGACCTTGATGAAACTAAGTATAAAGTTTAGTTAATATTGGTATAATTTACCCTTAAAATAATCAATAACTTTCATCATTGCAAAAGTAACTAGCTCAACATGTTAACTCAATAAATCAAAACACAAAATGAATCACCAATTACCAGCAAATGATCTTTCTCGTTGATCACCAATGACAATTCCCTAATCAGTGTCGCTTTACTAGTAGGCGTTTGTAGAGTCAAATTCTCTACATTGAGTAATTTTTGAAAGTTGTCTATTGGCATGGACCCATTAGACTCCAAAACAAGTGAGCTACTGACATTACAGTATGAAAGAGAAATCTCTTCTGAGTCGGAGAGGCATTTAGAGCTGCTGCTATCCAACACATCATCAAATTCACCTGCATACAGAAAATGGTTATGTTAATTAACCATTCAAATGCAAAACACCAATGTCATTGAGGATTTCCCATTCCAGTTTTAGGATTTCAAGCCTGAAACAGATCGTATGAAAAGAAATTAAGTGGTCAAAAAATAAATTTCTATGAGATGGGATAAAATAACTCAATTTCACCCAAGAAAAAATTTCCCAAAAACATGAAGTTCCATGTGAAATAATTAAAATGAAGTATGGCTGGAAAATTAGTTTCTGGAAAAAGAAGCAGAAAGAAAAGTTCTAACATCACTTATAACATACAGGCCAGGTTCAGGAGGCAAAGGAACTTAAGGATAGATTTTTCAAATGCACAATTGGTGAACAGTACTGAGTTATAAAGTGAAATGCATGTGCATGTTTACCCTGCATTAAAACATTTATCTTCCTTCTGTTGCCATGGAAATTCCTTTATAAAGTGAAATAATCACATTCTTTCTTTTCACTCATTTCAGGAAGTGAAACCAAGCCAAAAAAGCGACAGAGAGATGCACTAAGATAGTACCTAATCGATCAATGACAGCTGAAAAAGCGCTGATGGCTTGAAACTGGTAAACAATGAGAGAAAAATCTCCAAGGATATGATTAAAAGCAGATACTGACTGATTAATTACCCCAAACTCAATTTTTCCTGAGAAATACATGGGTGCAACAACAGCAGCAGGAAGGATTTGAATTAAGTATCGGTAGCCGTTGGTAAAAAACTCTAGATTTCTGGAAGATATCAACAATTCCTGGAAATTAATTAATAAATGTCAAACAGTTAATCATATAACCCTCTGAGAACAAATTGGCATAAGATAACAACAAAATATCATAATACAATGCATCTAAAAGAAAAAACAAGTCATCAAACAACACAATTCAAACTTTTTTGTATAAAGACTGAAAGGCGGCTGATAACAACATTTATGATTGCTGAAGAACTTCTGATGTGGCGACATATCTACCTTCCCATCTTGGTTTGAAACCTAATTGTGACTGAAACCTGTCCAGGAAAGAGGAAGCTACTTGTATTTCTTATTCTTCTTCTAAGCATTTTACGAATAAGAATTCAATAAGAAATAATATATGCTATGGGGTGTTTCCAAACTCAAATTGGTTCAGGCTAGGCTGAGTTATATAACTATATAGATTGTAGACTTTTAGGCACATTATTTCGGTTGAAGAAAGATTATTTGCATGTTAGAACTTAGGATTCTAAATTTACTTCAACCACAAATCCTTCTCCATGGCGCTAACAAAAACGCGTAGTTTAGAAAAACAAGAAAAGGAAGAGAAGGTAACTCTTCAAATGCCAAAAAACAGGCTTGCAGGGGAATATATTTGTGGTTCATGCTTTGGTTACAGGGGTTCAATTTGTGTCCTAATTGTTACATTTCATCAAAGCAATGTTCTTACTATTGAAAAATTATCAAAGTATCATATTACAGCCAAACTAGTGCACTGTAGCATGATGGTGCAGTTTCCAATAAATGGGCTAAGACTAATTAATATGACCATTAGCTCCTAGTGTTCTGCGGGCTAGGGTAGTTCATGCTCTTCTTAGATTGCTTACGGTTTATTCATTCATGGGTCTAACACTAATTATTACCAGAATCTCAAGCTTAATGATGGTCCCTCCTAGATTTGCTTAGGGATAGTTCACGCTCCTCTTAGGTTTGCTTAAGGTTTATTCAGTACATTGGCAAAGACTAATTATTACTAGAATTGTATGCACAAAAACAGGAAGCTAGGAAAATATGTAAACCACGCTTATAAGTCCCTTCTTTGGCAGAGCCAACACTAGGCAAAGTTTTGATAGTTTAATCTATATCCATAGTTCTTTAGGTTGTATAGTGGGCCAAAAGTATGCTTGCTATTGCTTTAGCCTTATAACGGCCATATGTCATCGAAGCTCTTCAAGCTTGACTGCTTATTCCCTTGCTTCTTTCCTATTTTCCTTGCTATAAATATATAATTGTAATGGTAGACTTCCTAACTCCTTCCATCCAAACCTAGGTTCAACCTAGAATTAAGTTAAAAACTAGGTTGTGGGAGAGTTCAATAACAAGAAAATGGAAATAAGTTTAGAATAGAAGATCAAAACAAATTCTTATTTCTTACTGTTAAATTCTCAAAAGCACTTGTGAAGCGCTGCAGCAGAAGTTGCAATTCGTTTTCTTCACCACCATAGAAAGCAATTGATTCAGCATTTTCCCGAACACGAACAAGCCCATAGCGGAAATCTGCTTCTTTTTTCTCTTGTAAGAAATTTAGAGTCACCAATCCCTGAAATTGAAAGTGAAATATAACCCAGTTCAATTTAATGATTTGTATCTTTCAAGACAAAAAGCTAATCATTTAGTAGAAACCAAAATTGCTGTAAAGATAAGAAAATTACCCTTCCAAGATAAACACTAATTGCAGTTCCACCAAGAGAATATACAAGAAGAACAATAAAAAGTGGCGGATAGATGCCATACAAGATGTTACTAAATGATATCAAGTCTACAGCTGCATTGAAAAGTGTCAATGAGAAAGCAAGGGCTGTTCCCGTGAAGGAACTTAGATCATCAACAATCCGCTGATCTGGATTATCAACAATTGATTGGGATTGAATTTTGTAAAATGCTTGATTGTTCAGATACCGCTCCATGTAATATTTTGTCATCCAAGATCTCCAACGCAGTGCAAGAGTTTCTCTTGCATAATCTCTTAGCACAAAGAACTAGAGAACAACACAGAGATGTCAAATTCAAGCACCAACAGTAATCAGAAAGCTCAAAGTACACTGCGGGCTAGTTGAAATTTTAAAAATTCCCCATATACAGATATAAAAGATGCGACTAGCAGAGTAATACCTAAGCAATATTTTTTGAGTGCTCACCGGAATTCCTCCTGCGAAGCCTCCAAGGTAATAGAGAAGTTGCTTGGTGAACTGTTCTTGGTCCTTGTCTAGCAATTTTATTTTATTTTTTTAATTTTCGAGTTAGCATTCAAAAAGAGGAAAAGAAAGAAACTTGAAATTTAAAAAAAATGGACGGTTCAAGCCAAGCTTACTAGCAAGGGCGTTATAGAAGTCACGGCCAAGGAAACTGAAGCCAACGCTTATACCAGTAGTGCCTAAAGTGAGAGCAAATACAGCAGCCAATTGCAATCTGGCTTTAACCTTATCGTCTGAGAACCAATACGGCGCTGCCACTTTCCAAAATCTTCTGAAGAGCGTTTGTAGCTCAGGCACCTTTCTTTCTTCTTCATCATCATTCTTTTCCAAGCAAAACTTTTATTTTTGAACAACAAAAGCAGTAACCAAGAAATTCAAACGGTAAAGCAAATTTCAAAACTTAGAATAACCTTGTCCGGTGAAGGTGAAGAAGCGGAGACAGTGGCAGCTGATCTGAAACGATTTCTTCTTCTGCGAGTTGTAGTAGCAGTAGTGGTAGACATGGCTATAGCTAAAACGGGATACCTGTGAGTATGGAGGCCTATTTGAACTTGATAATGAGGATAATGCCGTTCGCCCTTATTGGGACTGTAAGTAGACGAGCAAGAAGAGAGAAGGAACAGTTGGTGAGCTTGTGTTTGGAGTATCATCGTCCTTTGTTGCACTTTTATGTATGTATATATATTTATATATGTATACAGTATTGTTCTTGAATATATATTTTATACATATATTATTATTATTATTATTATTATTGTTCTTCTTCTTCTTCTCCCCTCGTTTCTTCTTCTGTGTAGATTTGATTCAACTGCAGAAATGGCGTCTCAGAATTTGAGATAACCGATTATATATTTATATACGAAATAACATTAGAATTATCCGCGACACAAACTTGCGGTCTCAGTATTGCCACGGACTTCTTTTTATTAATTATTCAGGTTTGTTATGTCTTGTTTTTTTTTTTTTTTTTTTTTTTTTTTTTCTTTTTCTTTTTTTTTTCTTGTTTTTTGTTTTAGGGGGAAAAGGGTAGATTTGATTCAATACTTGCAGAAATGGCGTCTCAGAATTTGAGATAACGAATTATTATATTTATATACGAAAATAAACATTAGAATATCCGCGACACAAACTTGCGGGTCTTCAGTAGTTGCCACGGACTTCTTTTTATTAATTATTCAGTTTGTTATGTCTCGGTTTTTTTTTTTTTTTTTTTTTTTTTTTAACTGAAGGTTTATTATTTATCGTCCACTCATTTTTGAATGGCTAAATACATTTCGAGACCCCAAATTTTATGGATTTTGACTATTATGCCCTTAAAATTTCATTTCTTGATATTCATCCCTATCAATAGCATTGAATGAAGAATGATTAACACATCTCAATAAGCATATACAAGACATAGTACAGTGGTAAGTGCATTTATGACTTGGCTGTAGATTCAAGTTGGAATTTATCTATTTAAAGTACTATGTGCCAGTCAATAATTTTTTTACTCAATCCTACCACTTAAATGCTTGAACCTGTAGGTTATAAACGAGTTAAGTTGGGTACAGGTTAAATATAAATCCTCGAGTCAAATAAATAATAAATAAATAAATATTTTAAAACAAAATACAATTAAGAGGAATTGCAAATATATATTGCAAATTATAATAATATATATATATATATAGTATATATAATATATATATATATATTATATATTTAAGAGATAAATGATACATACAAAAATTTTCACAAACCAATAAATAATCCAATAACAACATTAAAATTAAAATTCTTAAATAATATAAATGAAGAAACTTAGAATTTCTGAAAGGTTACTAACTTGAGTGATATTTACAACCTTATGAATAAATGAAGATTGTCATTCTCGAATTACCTATTCATGAATGTCTCTGAAAAATGAACGATCATGACTACTACGAGATAGCTTTTTATATTTAGAGATATAATTATACATACAAAAATTTTCACAAACCAAAAATATATTCCAATAACAACATTAAAATTAAATTCTTAATAATAATAATAAGATAACTAGAATTTCTAGAATTACTAAATTGAGGATATTACAACCTTAAAGAAATTTCATCTCGAAATTTACCTATCATGAATCTCTGAAAAGCATCTACTACTACATTAGCTTTTCCTGGCTGATAGTTTATAATACAATTTTAATCTTTTATCAGTTCAAGCCATCTCCTTTGTCTCAAATTTAATTCCCTCTGAGTTCCCAAATACTTTAAACTCTTATTATCTATGAAGATATGGCATTTCTCTCCTTAAAGGTAATGTCTCCAAATTTTCAAGGCAAATACAATGGCCGTTGAGGAAGCGTGATTTTTTCCATGGAAGGAAAGAATCAAATCGAAACGGGCTTAGTTGATTTTATTTATTTAAAGTGGTTTTCTTTTATTAAACACGTTTTATTAATCCTCAAAAATGGTGATCCTTTTGAAAAGGGATTAATAAAAATACCTTTTACATTGGTAAGAGTTTTAGTTTTAGGAGTTGCCACCCTCTTTAGGAAAAATTCTCAAATTAGTCGATTTAACACCAATATAAAATGAAATTCATGCCACTTTGACACACATAACTTGTTTTGGTTGATCCCGGATTTTCCTCACAACCAGGCTCACAAATGGTGATTTAACGCCAATATAAAATGAAAAAGAGATGGAGAAATGGATTAAAGGCGCTCAGAAATTACCTTTTTTGAAGATTATCAAAGGTTTGAAAAGAATGGATGAAGAAACCCAAAAGTTGAGTTTTTTGATCCAACAATCCAAGTCTAGGATTAGATCTACATGCGTTTGGGATTTTCAATGAATCCTTAAGGTTCTTAATGAATGAAAATGAATGAATGAAAATGAATGAATGAAAATGGATGAATGAAAATGAATGAATCACAATTTAAACCAAAAAGAAACACAAGTTTAGCTTTGATTTTGAGTTGAGTTTCGAAAATGCAATAATTTGCTAAAGGTTTTCAAAAATTCTGCTTTTACACAATTCCCTATGCCTTATTTATAGGCAAATAGGAATGTGTAGCCTTATTTTAGGGCTTATGTGGCAAAAATAGCACTGGTGAGCCCCAAAATAAGGTCGGCCCACTTTTACAAAATCAAACCGGGTGGCATGCTAAACAAGTTGGTGAACTGGGAAGTGAGCCGGGTGGGCTCGACATGCTTCTCGGGCCCATTTTCATCACAAAACGCCTGGTGACTCGAAAAAGTAAAAATAGTTAAACACGTATATTACCTCAGCCAGGACCATTGGTTCAAAAACCCGAACGATCGGGAATCCTGATCCACCCTTATGTAAAAAACGATTGATCATCACAATTTGCACCCACTTTAATGATATTTTGCTTTTTGAGTAAGATGTCGTCAAAGTATAAAGTAGATGCGCAAGTAAGAAATACTTACCTAGCTGACTTGCGTTCCTCAAACGGCTTGGATGGATGAGGGGCACCATTTTGACAGCTTTATTGATGTAAGTTGCCATTTTTGCGGGGTTAGGCAGGCAAATTGTGTCATGGTGGTTCGCGTCTTCTGCGGCCGACTGCGCCAGTTGGCGGCTTTGTTGAAATGTTCCACTGTGGAGGTTGTCACTATGGACATGTAGGGCAGAGGAAATGCGCCTTGGTGAGTTTTGGCAACTTCTGCGGCTGACTGCGCCAGTTGGCGGCCTTGATCTATAATGCTCCACTTTAGGAGGTTGTCATTGAGGACATGTATGGTGGAGGAAATGCGCCATGGTGATTTTTGGCGGCTCTATAGTTGACTGCGCTAGTTGGTGGCTTTGATATGAAATGCTCCACTGTGGGATGTTATCACTGAGGACATGGAGGGTGGAGGAGATGCGGCATGGTGATTTTTGGTGGCTTCTGCGGTAGACTTCGCTATTCAGCAACTTTGATATGAAATGCTCCACTGTGGGAGGTTGTCACTGAGGACATGGAGGGCGGAGGAGATGCACCATGGTGATTGTTGGCGGCTTCTGCGGCTAACTGCATCAGTTGGCGGCTTAGTTCTGAAATGCTCCACTGTGGAGGTTGTGACTAAGGTCATGGAGGGTAGAGGAGATTTGCCATGGTGATTATTGGCGGCTTCTGTGGCTGACTATACCATTTGGCAGCTTAGGTGCACCATTTGGTGGCTTAGGTGCACCATTTGGGACGGCTTGGGTGTGCCATTTGGGATAGCTTGATCTGAAATGCTCCATTGTGGGAGGTTATCACTGAGGACATAGAATGAGGATGAGCTATGCCACGGTGATGTCAGCAGCTTCAATGGATGTATGCCTTCTTTGAAGGGCTTAGGTTGCTTGCCTTAGGGGACTTACGGTTGCCTGCCTCTGGGAACACATTTTTTTTTGCTAATAGGAAAGTAGGCCTTTGGCCGATGGTTAAGAGTTAGAAATTTCGTGATTATGCCTGGAAAAGCATGCACGTGTGAAGCGTGAATTTGCATAAAATTGATTCTGCACATAAATGCGTGAGTTTGTGTGTTTTTGTATGAATTTATTAAAAGTCGTGCTGTGGTACACGAAACGAGAAAACTTACCTGTGGCCAGCGGTGTGTTACCCCTGCTTAGGTGGTGGGCTGTTGACGGGTTGCTGGCTAGGCATGAGAGCTGGTCGTAGCAAGTGGGCCGTTAGACCAAACTGGGCGCAAAGGCAAAAGTCGGGCCCATGGGCCTTTTTAACTTTATAAAAGGTGAAAGTGACAATTATTTGTCACTTTCAACCTAACTTACCAAACTTCTTCCTAAAGCTCTCTTTCCTTCGCTTTTCCTCTTTCTCTCAATCAAGACTTATGGCTGCCGAGAACATTGCGGATTGACTTCTTGGAGATGCAGTGATTGATCTCATGACTCGACCTGTGGACCACAACATGAAATTGTAGGAGTTTATCCCCGACGCAGGGACTTCTATCAGCCTGTGGCATGATTTACCCTACCACCTTTGCTGAGGCACATCTGAGGTAACCTGGAACTTTTTTTTCTTACTTTTCCTACATTATAAATACTAGAAACATGCGAACATTAGGTTAGAAATCACAAACTAGGTAGAAATTTACCATTTTGGGCATTTTTAGGCTGTGTTAGGTCACTGTGGCGTGCATCACTTCTTTAGCTATTTAGCTGCTTTGTTATGCTGTGGCATTCTCCATAGCAGTATTGGCGCACACCACTTGAGTAGTGCCTTGCTGTACTACTCAGTGGCTTACGTCATAGTAGCTGTGAAAAACATATTTTTGTCGCTTTTGTTATTTTTTTCTTGATTACTTGCATCAACACATATGAATATGTGCCTTTACACTTTATTAATGTACTTAAGAAATCACAAACTAGGTAGAAATTTACCATTTTGGGCATTTTTAGGCTGTGTTAGGTCACTGTGGCGTGCATCACTTCTTTAGCTATTTAGCTGCTTTGTTATGCTGTGGCATTCTCCATAGCAGTATTGGCGCACACCACTTGAGTAGTGCCTTGCTGTACTACTCAGTGGCTTACGTCATAGTAGCTGTGAAAAACATATTTTTGTCGCTTTTGTTATTTTTTTCTTGATTACTTGCATCAACACATATGAATATGTGCCTTTACACTTTATTAATGTACTTACAATGGTTTATTTTGTAGAAGAGCGTGAAGTGCAGAAAGTCTGGTGGCAACGCCTATGCTGCTGGCGAGTGCTTAGACTGGTTGCCTGTCTGAGTCTACGACCGTGTCCGGGAAGTAGGCTTTGGTCACTTTGTCGACACTCTACCACGGGTGTAGGGGCGAACCCTTCCTTCCTGTATTTTGGCGCTCATGGAGCAGTGAATGGACACT